TGGCTTTGGCACTGTGATATGAACTTTTTGATATCAATATGAAAGCCACTTGAGCATCCTGAAGATGCCTAAATACTTCTGTTTAAAGTAGCCTCTTCAGCTATATGAACAACAGTTAACAATTGAGCAAAGAAACTTTGTGAATCCTTGCTAATTCTCAGATCATTTTGACATTTCACGGGTTCTAGGAAGCATGGCATGAATCACTGCTAAGGAAGAGCTTCTCACACTCCCCTTTCTCTCTTGGACTTGCTCATATGAAAAAAAAAAAAAAACTTAAATACAGAATGTGATGGGATGTGGATAGGCTTATAATAAAAAAGCTATGCAGTTTTATTTATTGTACTTAGGCATCATAATATAACTGCCACTCATCAAAGGCAACAATTTGTGGGTGATTTGGACCATATGATCTACTCATAAATTCTGAACTCCCTTCCTTGGGAGGAAACAAAGAAATGCAATGTGTCATATGTAAGTGGTGGGCAGACTATCACACCATTTCTTTCATATCTATCACACACAGGTCAGTTTGACAAAGGATAAAATGTTGTGTGACCTCCTAGGCAAAAATCACTGTACCATAGAAGTGTGACTATGGCCATGAAAATTGGAAATGTTTCAGAAAGTTCTACATAACAGACTTAGAGAAAATAAGTTCAGTTATTGTACTATGTATTGTGAAGCATATAGAATAAATGAATTAGAACAAAGAGTCTGGCCAGATCAGAATACAGGAAGAGGTTATTTACTATGTGTTTTATATCTCATTTATTATTTTTATTCAACAAAATAAAATGAATCTTTGGTCAGTTTGCTTTTTGCTTTGTAACTAATGTAGAGAAATGCCTCAAAAATGTAGTTAATTATTATGATGATTAATAAATTTATTCCCTCGCATTATGAGAGTAGTCTCTTTCAGTTTTTCACATATTTGAGAAAGAATCCAAAATAGAGTAAAATGTATTATTTGTATATCAGGAAATAATCTATATGAAAGTAGCCCGTATGTTAGCTAAGACAAATGTCACACACAAAAAAAGTCTTGAGAAACACAACTGTACAGAGGACACAAAAATAATGAGGGTGGTGAGTATTGGGAAAAGGTTGGTCAAAGTAAATATTATCTTCAGGTATTAATTAGATTAGAAAATGAGAAAGAAAGAGAATAAAAATCACTGGTTTTATTTTTCTTATTAGTAAGATATTCTACAATACAACAACCAAATTATTTTCTACCCTATCCCACAAATCTTTCTGGAAGAGACTCCAGCAATGGCCCATAAGCTAAATGGAGTGTGGAAAACCAATTCACAAATTGCAGGTTTGGGGGAAAAATAACACTTCTTTGAAAATTAAGTCGATCAAGATCAGAAACATTTTATCTGCTTCCATTTAAATCTCCAGTCCTCTTTTTTCCTGCAGGTTTAGGGAATAGAACACAGAAACAGAAACAATGGGGCAGTGGGGAGTACTTCTGCTAAATATTTTGAAGTAACCATGTTGACATATTCAATGTAATTTTCTGTGGCTAAAAGAAAATTATTTGGCTAATCTCCCAGTTAAAGGTGGATTGTGAAGCTTGAAACATTCATTTTCCATTATCCTATTTTTGTTCTTCCCATTATGAAATATTTGCTTTACTAAATAAAGAGAGATATCATGGAATTTAAAGCATGGAAAAGTCTTGAAATCTCAATGATAGTTATGCTGCTGTCCAAATTTACATTCATCCCTTTCTAGAAACATGGAACCTGAGGGGGAATCTGATTACTCCAATGTAAAACAAACTACTCCAAAGAATTAAACATTAATGTTTATGGACATTCTAAACTATCAATCACATGACAAGCCTCTGGCAGGTCATGTAATTCTGACAAATCAACACAATTGAAAAATACAGTTGCATTGTTTTAAACTTAAAAATAAAACAGGCATTTGAGTTTTAGGTAAGAAATAATTAGCTACCAGTTACCAGTCACCTATTGAGACCATGGGCCTGAGTAATAGTTTGATATAAAAAGTAAATGATTAAAGTCTGATAAATTTTAGTATGTGAATTCTGTATTCACTAAAATGCTGGATTAACATCCAGCTTATATAAAAAATACAAATAGGGCACCATATAATAAAATTGTTCTGAGATGATGTTGCCATTTCAGTCACAGCCAAAACTGCAGCCAGTGAGTATTTAGTCCTGAATGGTCTATGTGCTGTCTCATATAATCCTCAAACTAATTTTACATTATCATTCAATTTCATGGATAAGAGACGTGATAGAACCCATATTTGAACCCATGCTTTCACATTCAAGAAACTCAGCTCTTTACCTGGGTAGCAGTGCTGCAGGTGAGTTTCTTAGTAATGATGAATCACATTTTACTGTTTGTTTTCTATTTCTAGCCTTGTGTATTTACTAATGACACTGATAATTTTTTGTATTAGTCTGAAATTATAGACTACCTACTGGAAATCCAGATAATGCTATAAGATCAACATTTTCACTGTTTTTGTTTAAATTAGTAAAGTATTAAATTTATAATTAGACACATTATGATTTTGAGTTGTATAACATCAGTTAAGATCATCCAAAACTACAGGTGAATTGTCACTCTACATCTCTGCCCCATGACCAAATGTCACTTCCCTGATTCTCAAGGCAAAGTGATAGAAATAACCCCTTCCTCTCAAGAACGCCACCAGGAAGGCACCAATAGTTCCTGATGTCTTTGAGAGACCTCTCTCCCCAGAGGATCATGATTTTACATTCCAGAGGTTAAAGAACCCTGCTTATACAGAAAAACAATAATAATACTATATAGAAAAATGGGTGGTTTCTATGAGCTAGGCACTGTTATTAAGTAAACACAGAGTCCTCAGAACAGTTCGGGAGCTACATAAAATGATGTCATTTTGCACATGAAATCGTGACCCTCAGACAACTTAAGGAGCTTAAAGTCACACATCTCAAAATGGTTAGAGCTTGATTTTAAACCTGAAATCAGATTACAAGGGCAACATACTTTAACCACCATGTGGAATTCTTTCTCACTAAAATATAGGACTAAGTTATAGGTAAAGTCATCAAAATAATTACAACATCATTCATCAAAATTATAGTTCAGTGACCCAATCAATGTCTGAAAGAAAAAAGATTATTTCATGAACATGGCAGAGTACAAGATAGATCTTGGAGGACAAAGTTGGATGCTTAAGACAACTATATTAACTAGTTTTTCAAGCCCAAGTATCAATGTGCCACTGTTGTATAAACCAATCTCCTCTAAACACCTAATTTACTTTAGAACTTGTCATCAATATTTACTTATTAACAACCAATGTATGAAAATGACATAGCAATTATTCAGTCACTTTAAAATTTTTTTAAAAAATTCAAGACAAATGAATGGAAAAGCTGGGAATGGAATTGATGACATAGATGAATCTCATACATGTAATATTTAGTGAAAGTAGCCAGATGCATAAAACAAGACTATATTAAGATTGAACAGGATAAGACAGAAACGCTGCACAAACTGTCTTAGGTGTTAGAATTTAGGAAAGTGGCTAGACCTGATAAAGGCAGCTCATAGAATCTATTATTATTGTTATTTATCTAATAGTTATGCTTTATCAAGGCTTTCTTGTCATATGACAACACAATAATTTATTAAAAGCAATACTTTATCTAAAATTCTCTTTTTGTTTTTACCTTAACATTACTATATTTCTTAAATAAAGATGAAATTAGCTTGTTTCAGAAAGCCTAATATTTCTATGTGAATTTGCAAAGTACTACTTTCCTAGCTAAAATGTTACACAAAATATTTTAAAAACCATATTTCTTTATGTATAAACAATAAAACAATGGTTTACATAATTTATAATAAAATATATAGCTCATTGTTTGTATTAATCACTTTTTTGTGCAACCAATACCATGATAATGGTATAGATTGATCAACTATGTGCAACATTCCTTCTTACTATTCTAAAGTGAACTTTACCCCTGAAATTCTAGCTGTTGGCAACTTTGACTGATTTTTCTCTCCCTGTAGTTTCACCTTTTCCAGAGTTTGATATAAAAAGGAAATCAAGTGGTATATATTTTTAACAGTCTGGCTTCTTTCATTCAGCATAGTGTATTTGGGATCCATCCATGGTGTGTGTAGCATCAATTTCTTCCTTTTTATTACTCAGGCATCTCGCAATGCATGGGTATACCACAACTGGGTAGCCTAAGCTGCTTCTAGATTTTGTTGATTGTGATTAAAACTACTGTAATTACTAGTGTTCCGAATTTTATGTAAACAAGAATAACATATTATGTTCTTATAATTCTAACATACGCTTTAACAGGCACAAGATATTTTCCATATTGCCTTGATGCTACGATAATTTTTTCATCTGAAAATATGCCAGTCAGTTCAAAATAACAGAAAATCAGGAATTAAATCCAAATTGTATAACAGACATTCTGTAAGTATCAATCAACATTTTAAAATTAATCTCCTTAATAAATTTTGAGTTTTGAAATTATGTACAAACTTAATATTCTATTGAAGTTATAATATTACTAATTTTTAAGTGTTTAAAATTTAAAATCAATGGCATTACTAATTAAAACTCTGAAATCATAATGAATGAAGGTAAAATTAAGAACTGATTTAAAAAACAATGTGTATTAAATTCTGCTGTAACTCTCATTTATTGTACTAAAATTTCAATCCAATTGGTTAGTGTTTTTGTTGGTGGTAACTAGGAAAGAATTTGAGTGATAAAATGGAAACATGGTTGATGTTACCTAGCATGTTGTGGTAAAGTGGAATGGCCCGTCCATGGGTAGTAAATGCAGTCATGACTAGTGGGACCGTTACACCTGCAAGCAATTACAGAACAGAAAACATCACTCTCCATCCACAGTGGCATGCACACACATGCACCAGTGCTCACGCATGGAGCCTTGGAGGAAGAACATGGGAAGGAAGCACACCAAGTACCTATCCATCAGGCCGATGCAATCTTCAATACTTGAGCCTACGCACCTGCAGAGATTCACATTTCAAAGAAATACAAGGAAAGAGAAATCAGTCATTAAAACAAAAATGAAAACAAGTGAGATAAACACTAAATGCACCAAATTCTTAATTTTATTATTTGGTAGCTTCTGGAAAAGAATAATTTTAGAGACTGAGAGAAAAAATATTTCTATGTGAAAACAGAGAAGTGAATTGACCTTACCACCCAAGTATAATGCTAGGAAATGGAGAGACAGCAATGGAAATTTTACCTGCTTCTGTGGATAACTTCAATAAATATCAGTCATTTCTGAAACCTTCAATCCATTTGCATCTTTCATCACTATATTCAGGTAGATTAATTACCTGATAATTCAATGACTGTGGGTGTTTTCAGGTACATCATTTTTCTTAAAACACCATTAGGTTTAAGTAAAATCCAAAAATCAATAAAAAGTCAATGAGCAATTGAATGTAATATAATAGCCTTATTCTTGATGTTCATTAAAGATGGATCTTGGCAGAAAATAAGTTAATATATTTTAGTGGAATTCCCCTGGCTATTTTACATAATCAGATTATGTCCTTGGTTTTGAATCTCTTTAATTTTTGTCATTAAACATACATTTATTTAAAAATCAAATGAACTGATTTGGGCCTCACTTCAGTACATCTTAATGGCCACTTTTAAATAGCAAATACATGACCTGCAAACAGAAACTTTGTAAAAAGTATCACAGTATTGATCTCAAACAAAAGCAAATAAATATGTTGTAGTAAATGAATAAACTCACACAGAGGTGGCTGAGGAATCTACCAAGCGAAAAATTTGATGAATGTATTTAAATACACAGAATTCTAAAACACAGTCCTTAGAATTTCATTTTGAGCCATTATGGAAATATTCCTTCCATTTTCCAACATAATTTAAGTTGAGTTTCTTATTTCTCTTCAAAGATAAACAGCTTCTGGTGGTATGATTTATAGGAGTGCCTAATTGGAGTGGCAATAGAGACTATACATGTTTTTCCAAACTCTGAGGTTTAAAAACTGGAAGAAGAGATTCAGGTACCCAGAGATGTGCACAGACTATGTGCAGCTTCTGTAATTTACTCCAGATGCCAGTGAGCTAGTAGAACTTGTCTGATAACTTAAGTCACCGTCTCTCTGTTCGATCACATATGTTATAATACTACTACTATGTAGAAAAATCAATTTTAAAGTTTTTTGTTTTGAAAATCAACTTTGAGCAGCAAAAGTAAATTTTACTCTGGGAAAATGTGAAATAAAGAGGTAAGATACAGCTAAAATTCAAATGGTTGACTTGGTTCCACTTATTGGATCTAATCAAAACAATTTTTAATTGGAAAACAAATTACTAAAACACCCTAGAATAGTCTCACATGATATTCTTTTATTGTGTTCTTAAGAGCTTTTTTTATTGTGTTCCTGTGATAGCCCCTTCAAAACACTAAAAATAGGTGTTTTTCGAAGACACAGTAGTGCCATTTTATAAAATTAACAGTCTACTTCTTACTTCATTAGAGAGAGTCTGAAAAGCTGTAGTTTGTGTGTAATCTTTATAATGACACTTGAAAGATTGAAAGAAAAAAAACATTCAATATTGAAATTCTGTTTGAGGAGAGTGTGAAGAATGAAATATCTTCATTCATTCAATAAACACATGTGATGAGCCTACTAAAGTGCTTGTACCCTTCAAGGAGCTGCAGAAAAAATGAGATGAATTAGATGCGTTTTCATTTATTTTCATTGAGCTCACAGTGTGAAGAAGATGAAATTACACATGTATGACACAGTTTTGTAAGTATAATACGCAGGGGGGACACCAGCATGTCCCACTTTAGAAGGTCATGGTCACCATTCTGGAAGAGTCAGCCATCTGTAGTTTGAAATGTTGAGAGCTATGGCTGGATTGACAGTGATTGTTAGGGAGTACAAAATAGGAGTAAAAACATAGCTCAAGAGCAATACATACTTTGAACAATATTTCTAAGTAGACACAGAGCATGATGACAGGCACAGAGAGAGGAGAAGTGAATGGAAGAACCTTTGGAGCCAGGTTTGGTGGGTTTTAACTTAGTAGATAATGGAAAGCCACAATGCCATTTGAAAAAGCCATGTCTGTCTGTAGATTATCTCTTCAGAGGGATGAATGAAAAATGTGTAGATATACAAAATAAGATTGTTTTTTAATCACAGGGAAGTAAGTTATATAATTTTCAGTAGTATCTATGCAACTGGAGCTCAGCTTATGAAACAATTAAGCTAACCTCAGAAAAACAAATAACAATTTCCTTTCATTTGTGGTTCCTAGATCTTAAACAGAAATATAAAATCATATACATGACATGAAAGAAGTGAAACTACTTAGGAGAACAAAGAGAACTAACAGGATGAGGAGGAGTGAAAAAAAAGAGAAGAGAGGAATAGGATAGATGTGTTCAGTGTATAATATATACTTGTTCTAACTATTATCATCATTTCAATGCACCATAGAAAACCTCTTGTTTGGTATACAAATTCAATAACATAAATGTCAGTCCATATAGGTCAATGGCTGTCTTAGTTCTGAACATGACTCATGATGAAAAGCAGATCTCCTAGGTAGCTTTAATTGTCAACATGACACAGACTAGAATCATGTTAGAGGAAGTCTTGATGGTGGAATTGCCTAGAAAACATTGGCCTGTGGGAATATCAAAGGGGTATTATCTTGATTATTAATTGATGCAAAAGGACTCATCTCATTATGGGTGGCACCAATCCTAGGCAGGTGGTCCTGGGCTGTATAGGAAAGCTAATTAAGCAATGAGATTTCGACCAACCTGCAAGCAGTGGTCCTCCATTCCTTTTGTTTTACAGATCAGCTTGAATTTCTGCTCTTACATCCCTCAATGATGGACTGCCACTTGGCAGTATAAGCTGCAATAAACTCTTCCCTACTCCTAGTGGTTTCTGGTGATAGTATTTAACAGTAACTGAAAGAAAACAACTTAATTAGCATGCATCCCCCAGAAGAAGCTAAAGAATGAATGAAATACAAACATGTTGGTAAAATATGGCCGAATTCAAGGCAAGAAGAGACAATATTTTTCATTTCTTTTCCCTCCCTTCCTTCCTTCCTTCTTCCTTCCTTTCTTTTTTTTTCTGTCCTCTAAGAATACTGGTGAGAGTTTTCTAATCAGGACTAAATGGTTCACTTTTTTAAAAAGTACTTGAAGAACTTTTAGAGTCAATTTATTTAATGCACTTTTGAAGTAGTAAAAATACATTTGAGGTATTAGATAATTTTATTTTCAAAAAAATCATTAAACTGTATTCAAAGTAAGAACCTATTTCTTAAAAAATGTAATTGGAAAGACTATTTCTATTAATTTGGTTATTGAATGACCTGACTAACATTGGGATGTGGAAGGGAATCTGCTCCTGAAGGAGAGCTGGTCTGATGAGAGCTCACACTGAATCATATGATCAGTCAGTAGATGAACTGAGGAATCAAAAAGAGTCATTCATCCCAGTATTTCCTCTGTGCTGGGATCTTTCACTGAATCATAGTTTTATATGTTCACACTAAGGGATGAATTGCCCTGGATGCCTCATTTCCTCAGTACACAGTGCTAAATCATAGTGGGTATTCAGTGATCTAGTTCATAGACTGTAAGCGTTCCTGAATTTTCCTCAGGAGCTGGAATCAACAGCAATTTTATGAAGTCAGTAAAAGTGAATATAGAAATTATGAGGAGGGTGAAGCTCAATAAATGCAACAATAAGACCTCAGGACAAAATCATCATTGGAGACTCATTACCCTGGAAGATGCTAGGAAATACAGCATATTCTGTCTCATCATTATACTGCAGCCTAAAGCTATCTGTGTATCTTTCTATTCATTTAGAGGTCACCATCAAACCTCGGCTTCCCTTTAGTATCAGATCCCAGTTTTGTTGCTACTGTAATTTGAACCCTTTCCGTGTGACTCAACTTCTACCTCCCTGTACCGTATATGCTTTCCTTTATTATCCAATCACGATTTAAAGGCTGACGAGGAAGACACTCCAGCCACACATCCAGACTAGGCTCTGTGTCTCACTTTCATTTCCCTAATGACTTCATTGTAATTAGATTTGCAAGAACAGCAAAAGGTCTCATTTTGAATGGCAACAGCTGTTGACATCGACATTATATTGAATAATTTACTGGTTTAATTTTAGTTGCAAAACAATAAAACCCTCTTGTGGATGATTTTCACAGGCAAAGTTTTCTTTTTTCTCTTGCTGACTCTTCTGCTCCAGCAGCACAAGTTATTTTTTTTCCTCCATAAAATAGTCTCAATTCAAGTGTACCAAAACTCACAGGGGGAACCCTTTATTACTTCTGTTTTCCTTAGCAAAGTGTGTGGGTGACTGTCTCAGTGCCCTCAACCTGTGTGTTTATGTACAAACTAAGGAGCTGGCAGGCAGCTCTTCTGCTCTGCATTTGAATTTGTGGGGCAGAATATTGCTTTATCTTCTGAGAATCTGCTACTTCGAAGAATGACTTAGCTGATTTCATGACCTGTAGGAAACTACAGCAGCATCCAAAAATTGATGTTTTCTTGGCAGAAAATAATGCTGCTCATTTTACTTTTTCAGTATCTTCTAACAGCCATGCCTTAATCTGGCAGGACCATCTCTTTAGAGAACCTTTACTTTCCTGCCAGACATAAAGGGCCCAAGATAACTCTCAACAAGTGTGTGCATATGTGTCGTTCTATGTCTGCATTGTGGGTAAGCACTCACAATGGAGGTGAGGATTTTATTATGAGAGAATGAGGTGAGTTAAACAGCTCTCAACTCTAACAGTGTTTATCTTCTAGAGGAAATGGGGGAATTATTACTGAGATAGGATAAATTTGTTTTAAGACAAATTTAAGAATAGAATTTGCTAGAGGTGACATTATTTCCCTTTGTATACAGTGTTCATTAATGTCTCCATCAATGGCCATAACCCTGAACAAAAGCAATCCCCTTAATTCATGTATATTCAATTGTTATCAATGTAGGTTATGATGCACAGCATATCCTCTTGAATGGAAGCATATATCTTTCTCGATTGCTTCATGACAGTCAAGAAACTCTAAGGTATTGAACAACTATAAAAAAAAATGGCTTGCACACCTATATTAGTTCTGTTGTGAGCACACATATGAGCAGATTATTCTTTTTTTTCTTCTCTGTCATGATTGCCGGAGATCAGATTTCATTGAAGGACCAAGCCAAGGCAGTAATTATTAAAGACATTTACCTATTTTATGTTTTGACAATCAAGAAACAGAAGCCATATTGTATATTTTAACAAAAACTTCTCTATGACACTAGTACTCTATTGTCTCTTCAATACTTTGAATCTATTGTAAAGATGATGAATTCTAAATTGCAGTCAAAGCACACTAGCTTCATGAAGGAGTTAGTAAGGTGGTTACAGGTAAATAATAAAGGGAAATATTTCAGAGGTTCACCTAGAAAGAATTTCATTTGAAATTAGCATGTAAATTATAAAGAATAGCATTCCTGAGACAATTTGAGTAGACATCAGAGATGTTGATAAATGTGTTCATCCTTTCAACTGGAAACATGTCCATGGTTTATCTCTTGACCAGCAAGGATGCTTACCCTTGGGTGCAGTTTGGATGGCATGGGTGGCATTCCCGATCCTGATCCGCATACTTGAAAATGAAACTGTTTGCTCCCTGTAGGCCATCTGGACATTTCTCCACACAGTTTGGACCATCCTTAAAATGAGAACACTTTGTGCAGTTGTCAGGTCCCTGAATATGAAAAAGAAAAGCAAAAATGGAGAAAGAAAAATGAGTTCACTTCCCTGTGAAAGGCATCATGTGGTTTAGTTTCTTAGAATTTTGAGAATGACAAATAAATCTTCCTGTAGGGAAAGCATATCCATCGATACTAACATGGATCTGGCTACTAAAGTATAAACAGCACCGAGAGAGCCTTAAAGTTCTTCTTTGTTATGCTGTATGTGAGTCATCATTCTATCATCATGTTACCAAATCTCTTATGAAAACACCACTGCCCCTTGAAATCAGCAGTTCTCAGTTCACCTATTCTCTGTGTCATTTCTCTAAAGTTACTTAATTTGAACTAATATTTCCCAATGGCTTTTTCAAAAGGGTATCAATATTTTGTCTTGCTGTTCATTCTTAATGGTATTATAAAGTTAACAATATGTGTAAATAATAAATTTTCCATGTATGTTTTATCACCATTACTGAGAATTCATAAAATAGTTAATGAGAAATAAAGCATAACAGAAATTGGAATACACAGCTCTTCATGTGTGTCAATATTTCTTAATGCCTATTTGAAAAATAAACTTTAAAATGCATTATGAATGAATTATCAGGTATCCAAGACATATAAAATGCCTTGGTTGTTCTTTGTCTCAAATCATCTTACGCTGATACTTAAAAGGAAGTGACATAAACTTATATGCGTGTTTGCAAACCATAAGGAATCCTTAGAGTCATATAATGTACATTATGAAGAGCAAAAATTAAAAATAATTTAAGCATTTTAAAATAAAAATTGTATGGAGAAACCTATCCAGTGATGAAGGTAACATGAACATTATTAATTAAAGTATAACACACCCACTTTAAATATTGTCATTTATAATCTACACAATGATTTTAGTAAGTAGAAAGTTGATAAACAACAATAGTATGAAAGTGATAATAAAAGTAATATGTATTTATTCGTACTTTATATTTTTATTTTTAAGAAGTGTCCCCTAGTGAAGCCCATGGTACTCTCAATCCCATAATTCTCATTCATCATTCTCCAGATCGCTGGCTTATAACAATGTATCACTATGACCAGTCTCAAGATTTATATTTTAATATAAATTTTATCATTTTAAAATATTACTATCCTGTCAGTAATCATGCAAGAAAGAAGCAGTATATTTCGAGGTTGGAGAAAGTTGAGAACATTTTGATTAAAATACTACTTTTCTAAAGAAGGGCCCATGTCTTTGCATATTCTGCTATTTTGGATATGTTCTGCTTGAAACTATCATCCCTCCAATCTAGGCCCTCTCTTTGCTCAGGGTTCTATGACAATAATAATCATTTGACAACTTGGGGATTGTTTGCCTCCTATCCTATTCTTCCTGTTATCTGCCTACGTGTGGGATCCTGAAGAATTATTACAGCACACCTGAAGACACCTTTAGGTAAGTAGGATATAGTAAGTATTCAGGGACACAATTAAACCAAGTTTATATTTGCAAATATTGTGAATTTGGAGCCAGGTTAGGTGCACATTATATTGAACTATTAATCAATGACTGTGTGGGTATGCTTATTCATGAGGCTGATCTTGATGATTTTACAAATGACACCTCAAGTCAGCTAGATATTTTAAGTCAGTAATATAAAGCAACACAAAGCAAAAGATAAAGAAGAAAGAATCTAATGAAAAATTGTGATGTAAAGAAGAAAAAGCAGCCACAAAGAAACCAGTGAGCTTAGATCAATAGCTATCTATTCCATTATTTTGATGTGAAGTTCAGAACTAAAATAAAATAAGGTTTAAAAATTTAAATTAAACACATGAAACCTAATCCCCATTCTACCCAAACAGTTGCCAATGGTAACTTCTTATATCCTCCCAAATAAGAGTACTTCACATGCTTCCAATTTTAACACCTGTTCATGGGTACTTAGGCACGTAATACTGCCTATTATACGGAATCATTTACTGTGCAAGTATGTTCAGTGGCATGACTTATTCTACAAGACAAGAGACATGCTTATTGTAGAACACAGAATAAAGCTTACCATAAGTAAATTAAGCATAGTCTGAATTAAGAATAATTTCTTTTAAATTCTTGGAATGTAAAATAATGTCCAGGCAAAAGTCTTAAGAGATAAAAATGTCAAGAACCAAAGAAAGTTCATAGTTAAGTACATTCTAATACAGCCAGTTAGTTTGTGCCTATTTGTTTCACCACGATACAAAACAAAGTACCTGCAGCCGACATAGTTAAAAGACATTCCAACAAATCCCTAAGGACTTGAAGTACGCTGACTCCTATTTCATTTCATAATAAAAAGACAAGCACCTAATGCTCACTCTCCTATTGTTCTATTCGCAAGGCTTTTATGAATCTAGGTGCAGTGACTGACCAATTTGTAAAGGATGCAGCATTGGTTCTCCTAGGTACTAAACTGCTGCTGGCCCCAATAATCTAGACAGGCAATGAAGTGACAGACCAAATCCTGATGTGTGCATGTTATTTCCCTCAGTGGCAGTTGGTTTTCCCAGGTAACTTCTCCAGAAAACAAAGCTCCTATTTACTTTCTATACAATAATGTTCTTTCATCCCTGCGGGAAGACTGCCTTTCACCTGTCAGTCCAGGTAAGATAAAGCTTACTTTAAATAATGAAATGGAAGTTGAAGCCATATATAGGGTGAGAGCTGAATTCTTCAGCCTCCTCTATCCATGCTGCCACTTTCAAAGATTTCAAATAGAAGTGGAGATGCTATGAATTCACAGTATATGGGTCCTAATAGGGAGATGGCTCCTTTTGCATATTAGGAAGACTTTCAATGTACCCTACATAAAATGAATCAAGTATATTTATCCTGAGAGCAAAGAAAGGATAGAATTAAGATCTAAGCACAGCTTTTATGAACCATCCTCACAGCTACTTTACATTTTGTAAAAATGTTTGAAAGCTTGTTCTCCCCACCCAGGCCCTTTTCTTCTATGCTGCCTCTCCAGCCTCTATGTTGGCCTCCTATAACTGTTTGATTCTCCTTACTTATTTCTCTTCCCACAATTCTTCCCTTACCTCTCTCATGATCTACTCAGGGAAGTGAAGGCAGGTACAATGGAGTCATCATAATTGCACATATAATATGTAAATTAAATAAGCAAGACCAACTACAGGCAGACACCAGCATATCAAAACAGAGGCCTTCCTGTATGCCAAGCCTAGTTTCCTGAAGATAAAGAATTTCTGTCACATTGGAGTAGGATTACACCATCCCATTTACTATACAGATGTCATGTTTTTAGCAAGCATATTACTTGCACAATGCTGAATACACTGCTGTCTGGAAGAAAAAATGAAATGATAGGAATGAAAAACATGGAATCATAACCTCTACAACTGAGTGGAAGCTTCATGTCTCACTGGCTTTTGAAGTAACTATCTAATCTTTATGCTTAAATATATTCATATTTTAAGTGAGGAATGTCAAAGTATTGCTGAGATTTAACAGTATTTGTTACGATAAATCTTTCTGCCAAAAGCCGCCTGAGCCCCACCACCACGTGTGAGCTTTACGCCAGCCGCCCACCCGAGTCAGGCCCAAATGAATACACAGAAACTTGTATTAGGTTCAAAGCTGCTTGGCCAATGACTAGAATTCCTCATCTGCTAGCTCAGTCTTAACTATCATAAATCTATATATGTTATAAGACTTATCTTATCAGACACCTTATTGGCGTGCATCCTTGCCGGTGGCTCACATCCTGCCGCTGGAGGAAGAAGGGGAAAAAGCGACCCTTCCTGTTTCTCCTTCGCTTAAATATGAGTCTCCTTGCTATGTCATTTCCTGTCTGGATCATCACATCTGTACTACATTTCCCAGAATCCTCTTTGACTCCTAGTCCTGCCTAACTTGCCATCTCATTGGCTAAACAGTGTTTTATTTAACAATCAATAAGATAAACATACACAGTACATTCCCCATCAGTTAGTAGTTATCAATTTTTATCACTATGGAAACTTTGACAAACCAATGATGAAACACAAATACACACACACATACACAAGTCTCTCTCTCTCTGTCTCCCTCCTTCCTGACTCCCTCCCTGTCATCCTTCCTTCTTTACCTTCCTTGCCTCTGTAACTTTCTAGTGTTTTGATTTACTGTCTTCCTCATTTTCTAGTCATATCAAATCTCTATTTTCATGTTGCAGAGTGACCTTAATCATCTGGTCCCATAAGCACTGCCACAATGGAACAAATGTTTATCATATCTACTTTTCATATCAAATAATTGTGAAGAAAATCAAGAGTGTTAATTAGTTGGGGTTGGGACTTTGAGTCTTATCCATAAATGTTCATGGAGTGTCATCCCAGACTTAATTTTTATAAAAATGTTTAACTCTTTTAAAAATAAATTGTCTCAATTTCTTTGAAGAACATATGAGTAAAAAGCTATAAAAATATACAAATTGAGAGAAATTAATAACTAAGTTACCTATTAATGTGTTTGCATAGCAGAAGGCATATGAGTAGAAGGAGCATAGAGGTAGATGGTTGAATGCTGTAAGCCCTAAACATGCATAGTGGGACTGCTATTCTGCTCATGATAGTGAGAAATTTATTAGCAATTTTAAGATTATTTCTTCATTGGTAGAATGGGGAAAATACCTAGAAGATAATGAGAGAAATTATATGGGAAATACATAACACAAAGCTCTTAAAACCAGGCTTGATGTCTGTGAAGCCCTGGCTAGAAATATCATGTACAGTGAACAAAGTGAGAATGTTTCTTTGAGATATGTTCAGAATAAGAACAGGAATGGGAAATAACAGGAAATTATGCATATCAAGAAAATATTAAGTCACAAAAAGAGCAGGAAATACACAGGAAGCAGTGGAGCAGGAGAACATGAAACAATTGACAAATTAAAAAATGTGCCATGGTCAACCTTGTGCTTCACTTTGTTGATGGAGAATGTACTTCTGTGAATGTTCATCTTATTGGTTGTTGAATAAAGTACTGTTTGGCCAATGAGGCAGCAAGTTAGATGGGACTAGGAGTCAAAGGGATTCTGGGAAATGTAGTAGAGAAGTGGAGAGCCAGCCAGAAGGTGACATATCAGGGAAACTCATATTTAAGGAAGGACAAGCAGAAAGTGGCCCCTTTTCCCTCTGCTCTTCCTCCAGATTCTCTATGTGATCCACCAGCAAGGGAGGACGCCAAAGGAAGGCTTCCAATAAGATAAGTCTTATAAAATATATAGATTTATGATAATTAAGACTGACCTAACAGATGAGAATCCTAGTCATTGGCCAAGCAGCATTTGTACCTAATAGAAGTCTCTGTATACTATTTGGGGCCCTAACTTGGCGGGCAGAACTCAGGCAGTTGGCAGACACCACCTATGTGGCAGTAGGGCTGGGGGGGGGGCTTTTGGTGGAAAGATTTATTGTAACAGAATGGTGTCATAAGTGGGATGACCCCATGCCCCAAGGTTCCCAGAGGAAGAGGGAAACCTGCCGCCACAGCCTGCCTGCCCTGTCGGGCCACTGAGAGGCAATCAGAGTAGCTTCTATATGCTCGTGCCATCCCAGCGCTCTTGAGGTTTGGACTCAGCACTCCTGAGATGATAAAGACAGATCCAGAAAAAACAAAAAAAGAAAAAAAAAAAAACCTCTTAAAGGTTTATACTGCGTTTAAAAATATATGTAGGCTTATGAGAGAAAAAATAACTGGAGGAAATAGAGTAGCTGCATGTGGTGGCACACATCTTTAATCCTAGCATTCCAAAAGCAGAGGCAGGTGGATTTTCACAGAGGAAACCCTGTCTCAGAAAAAAAAAAAAAAGAAAAGAAAGTAAAAATAGAATAGAAAAGCCACCTAAAGATGAAAAATACATAGAGAGTCTGCATACTATATGCTATATTGTCTTTAAATTGTTTGATTGCAGAGGAAAGAGTTACTACTGCTAAAATACATTTGATTATAAGTGCGGCTAAATTAATCCAACTTATACATTTTAAAAATGCTTTTACTTCAAAATGTAAGTCTAAGGACAGGCTACTTGAAAAAACAGTTTTTACTTGTATGTCCACAGAAAATCAAAAGCTGTGGATTCCTTCCAGACTAATAGGGTTTGATCAAGCAAGACCCCCTAAAACCATGACCCAACTGATCCCACATCCAAAACAGCTGAGATAGTGCAGCCTTTCATACTACAAAAACAAGGACTTGGTCAGATTTCTTTGGTTTATCATGATCCCCATGGTATGAACATGTTCATCTTATTGATTCTTGAATAAAGTACTGTTTGGCCAATGAGGCAGCAAGTTAGATGGGACTAGGAGTCAAAGAGGATTCTGGGAAATGTAGTAGAGACTTTTCAAGTAGTGTTTCGTTAAGCCTATATTTAATACACATTAACTAGGTCTAGACACATCTGATGCTCCCAGCCTTACCATCAGGAAATGGTCCAATATTTTTGGTTATTTTAATCATTCATTTTCAAGCTTTTAAGTGCCAAAAGAAATTTTCATTCAGTGACTTATTGCCAAATAGTCACCTAAATACCCAAGTCTTAAGGAACCCATGTAGACACCTCTACTTGCTTCAGCAACAGACTGAGAAAACTTCCTTTCCTTTGCGATGGACTATTTTTCATGGAATCTGCATGTCTCATGGAGGAGGTCAACTGTGTTTCCATGGCACTTCACAGTGGAGAAGCAAGGTATCTACAGATGCCCTTGGACATACTTTATTAGAGGCCGAGAAACAATAATTTGTCCTTTACACTCTCATTCTTCATGCTACATAACTGCCTTTCTATTTCTTGAAATCTTCCTTTTTCAGATGCTAAGAAGCATCATGTGACAGCCCTTGGAAAGACTGTGGTTTTCACATCCACTAGAGAAAGTTTTAGAATGGCTCCCTGAGGCCTTATGGAAAGTTAGGGGACTCAATATTTTTTTCTAAGTTAGTTAAATGCTGAGTAAGTGCACTCCAATAACATATGTTCTTTAGATTTTAAATACATTTTTATGAAACTAGATTTAATTCTTGCTTGGACCCAAATGTTTATCTTCCAGCTAATTACTAAGAGATGACTCAGTAATGGAAGAACAGAATATTTGTCTGAACAAGGATGAATGTATCACTTTTTAATGGCAAATACAGATTGGTCTCATTGTTCAGATAAACCCAAGTGCTAGAAAACATGTGGGAGGGTGTGTTTTCTCAGACTTAGAACCATGTTCTCCCTAATAGAACTTTAAATTGTGGATAAGGTTGCTCAGTCCTTAAGGCTTTCATGATGGACTTCTACTCCTTGGATCCTTCTCTCTCATACATCATTGACTTTAATGACTTAGGTAGGTTAGGGGGATTGTTTTGTTACTCTTTCTCATATGCTCCACTCTGCAATCAGAAACACTAAGTAATTGTGTTGGAATGCTCACCAAAGCAATGCGAACTTTAACATTTTTAAACCTTATTTTCTCATTCATCTGTGTTATTTTAAATCTTCTATACAGGTTTTCATCAATTCAATTACTATCATTTAAGAGGAACACTTGCATATATTTTAGTAGTGTGTCTATTTCTTAGATAACTCTATATCCTTATTCTTTTGCTCAAATACAATATTATGGGAATAAATATTTATATGATATTGAATTTCCTAATATTTTATCTCTCCTATTAAACTGTATGTTTCTAGATTCAAATATTAAACGTTTCCCCTCAGTATCTTATAAATACCAATTTAAGGGATATGTAAACCCAAAGCAATGACAAAACATTTATATTCATGATACCAAATAAGCCAACTAGCATTTTCAGACTTACCGGTCCATGGCATGTGAGTAGTCCATCTTCCATCTTCTCACACTGAGAGTCACATTCAACACAGATGGAGCCATTTTCAAACTCTCGAAATTCCCTGTGAAAATATCAACTACATGAGGAGGTGTAAGCAAACAAGCCATCAACTTAACAAATGAGACATCTGCTAAGAGTCCTATTGGCAGTGTAAATTCTTGAGTTTGTTTCTCTAATGTGCCAGGAGCTACAGATGCATTTTCCTATGCATTAAGGAGGACTCTTTCCATTAAAAGAAAAGATATACGGCAGCCAGATGGTTCTCCTTGCTCTCAAATGGGTTCAACAATTGTCTCATTCTGGAAAAACCTCTCTCTTGTCAGAGAGATTCTAGCACTTTCCAAAAATAGAAAACACTCTATTTTGATGACACAGCAGAATTACTTTTACCTCTTTGAGTAAGACTATATGCTTGTTTCTATATAAAATATTGCTCTTGGTTGAAGCCTTAATTTGTAAACCACTGTAGCGTTTTAGTTGCTGAACTACATAAATGTTATCCAAACTTGTCCTTCAAATCTCAAGACTATTAAACTTACTTTTGGTTAAATTTCAAAACAGGCTTTGATATCTTATCTCCCTTTAAAACATCTGCCTGAGAGAATTAGAAAAACAATATCTTTTAATGCTAGATTTTATTTTCTTAGATTATTGATCTAATATCACAACATTCTTTTTAGTCTAAATTCTTTTTTAAGTAATTCTATATGGAATAAAATAAAATAGTTTAATATCTATAGCCTAAAACTTTATTATTCTAATCTACCATGAATATGGTTCTTTTTTGTATCATTACATTTTATTCTATATATTTATTATATGTTTTAAATACATAATTATTCCATTCAAAGTCTAATATAACTATTTTACTTTGATAATTGGGAACCAGTCATCTATACTATGTTAAAATTACATTTTTTTCACAAAAATTCAAAATGAAATATTGGGTAAGATTTAGTGTCACTTAGGAGTCATTAGCAAAGTTGATCATTAACTAAACTAGTGCATCTAATCTATTCATAATTTTTGCCTTTGTATTCTAAGCCATCTTTTGAAACCAATATCAACATGAATGGTGTCCTTATAAATTAATTAGGTGATAAGTTATAAAATATTTTCTTCCCTAAAGCCATCACTTCCTTTTTCTCATTTGAAGACATAAGGTCTTAATGAGCAATGGAAGTTCAAGGGGGTAAGTTATATATTCTGTTGTTTAAATTAATTCCCAATCTTGATTTCTATTTTATTAATTTCTAAAATTAGGACATAATTTATCGAGCTTCCTTGGGCATTTTCATACATATATGTCATTATGCTTCCTTCAAGGGGAAAGAGGTTAAGTATGGTTTCAAAATATAGAATTCAGTACTTGTGCAGTAAGATATTAATTTGTTTTAGATGAAACCTTTTATGAATTTTCTTGTATAAACTCTTAATTATAGACCAAGCCTTTTTTTTATGCTTCATTAACAGAAGAGATAGAAAGTACTTAAGTGAGGAGATCTTTAGAATAAAAGGAGAAAATGACCCAAAGGGAGGATACTTAAGCCCACAAAAATTTACAAATAATGTATAATGAAATTTTATGAGAGTTAAGTAAGCTTTCCAGTTTCAGGTAATTATCAGTTTGGGATAATACAGTCTTTGGCCATTAAAGTGTTATGGTGGCAAATGAAGAATGTAATTTGTATGCTACTAAAACATAGTCAATGTTTTATTCCCATTCCTCTACACCAATGTGCACCTCTCTCCACACACAGCTAAAGAGTAAACAATGTCATAAGAGCAATGGAGAGACCATTACCTTTCCCTCCTAATTTCCTTTACAGGGCTCCTGACTTCTTCCTGTTTCCTCAGAGATCTTCCTTGAGCCTTTGATTATTGCTGTAACTATCATTACACTTCTTCCACATCCCCTAGTGACTTAAATGTGGTTTTGCCAGTTCTCTTCACTTGGATGTGGCCTAATAAATTACAGTCTATGATACCAACATGCTAATATAATCAGTCTTCGGATTGGCCGTGAATGCTATAAAACTGAGTCTCCAAAACTGGAGTCTCAAACAACAATACTATTTGAGAATTGAACACTTGACATTTACATTACTAAGTATCCTCTACAAAAGAAGAAAACATGTTTATGTTTATGCAAGTATAATTTTTAAATATGAAATTGGCATCAAAGGTCTTTGACTGGCACTCTGATGATTTTGTGTTGATCTCAAGGATTCAGAGTGCATGCCATATAGAAAAGCTTTAGGGTGCCAAGGTTCCATTATGTCTCTTCCATTTTGATTGTTTGACAGGTTTAATCATTTTTTAAGATAAATATTTCACTCAACCATTTAATAAACTCAGATTAACCGGTTAAAGGGAAATCATGATAATGATATCCACAGCAATAACATTAATAAGAACTTATTAAGTACCTTTCACTTCATATAATCATAAAATGGGCACCATGCTATTCCCATTTTTATACAAGGACACACATACACACACACACTCACTCACACACACACACACACACACACACACACATACACACACATACATATGTGTGAGATGGTATATTTCTCCTAGTCTCATCCCCTGGGGTAACTTGAGGCAAGATCAGTAGGGCTTAGGAGTTTAAACAAGCTTGGGCAGAATATCAAGTCTTCACAGAAGGAAGAAACGAAGGAAGACTTGGAGAGAAGGAGGAAGGAAGGAAGAAGGGAGGGAAGGAAGGAAGGTGAATAAATCCAGTAAAGCAGGTGGTAGGGCAGAAGCAGGAAAGCAAAAAGGAACAATTAGGGAAATGTCCAGAGATCTACAAGGATGACACAAACTAACCATCTAAGCAACAGTGGAGAGGCTACCTTAAATGTCCTCCCCTGATAATGAGATTGATGACTGTCTTATATGCCATCCTAGAGCCTTCAGCCCGCAGCTGATGGAAGTAGAAGCAGATAGCCAAAGCTAAACACTGAACTGAACTGGAATCTAGTTGCAGAGAAGGACGACTGATGAGCAAAGGGGTCAAGACCAGGCTGAGGAAACCCAGAGAAACAGCTGACCTGAACAAGGGGGAGCTCTTGGCCCCCAGACTGATCGATGGGAAACCAGCATGTGACTGATCCAGACCCCATGAATGTGAGTGTCAGTGAGGAGGCCTCGGATATCTATGGGGCCTCTTGTAGTAGATCAGTACTTATCCGTAGCATAGGAATGGACTTTTGGGAGCCCATTTCAGCTTAGACACACAGGGGAGGGCCTAGGCCCTATTCCAAAGGCTATTACAGACTCTGAAGATCCTCCATGGAAGGCTTCACTCTCCCTGGGAAGCAGAAATGGTATGGGATAGGTAGGGTGTTAGTGGGGGTAGGGGAGGAGGAGAGTGAGCAGGAACTGGGATTGAAATGTAAAACAACCTTGTTTCTAATTTAAATAAAAAAATGGGAAAAAATGTTACTAGGCAGGTTCATTTTCTTCAAAGGCAACTATGACTAGCTACCTAGACAATACAAAAGATATCAGACAACACTGCAGATGGGTGAATGTATGAGAAAGCCTCACAGAGCAGACAAGAACTGAAAATAAACTTTATTTTTTTAAATTTTATTTCATGAGTTTTACTATAATGAAAAATACTTTAAAATTTAAAATTTTTGACATATCTTATGTAATGCTGTAAAACTAGAGGTTATTAAATGTAAAAAAGATATCTAGTGATTGGGATTCAATGAGCCACTAGTTTTTGTTGTGTTTGTTTGTTTTTGTTCTGCATTCACTAGTTTGTTGAAATGTGACCCAGAATGGAATATAAAGCTACCTATTTCTACATTTTATATTTCAGACAATATTATCACTGAAATACCTAACCAAAAAATGGTGTTCTGGAAGGGATGAAAATCAGACTAACTGTACTCTAGTGCTGGCTTGATTATTCAGTCAGCGTATGATTTTAGCTAATACTTTAGCCAGTCCTCATTGTTCATAATAAGCTGCTCATAGAGAAAATTATTTCTAGATACCCTATCTCCTAAGAAATACATGCCTGTATAATATCTTCTTACCTTAACTTGTGCTTAGTGAACTATATCCTAGTAAAATTCACTCCAATGACACCATTTCTAGGCACATGTATATTTTTCTGTGAGGTACTTTATTTAGAGTGATGGCCTTCACTAGTAATATGAAGAAACCTGAATGTAATCCCATTTGCAGCATCCATTTATTATCAAATTTATAAGCTAATTATATCTAACAGAGTTCTATGCTGAAATATTTCCAATTACTAAATTCTAATTTTAAGTTACTTCTTATTTAAATTTGTTAACTAATTTCATTCACAAAATTTTCCTGGGACCTTTTCAAGAAGAAATACATACACTGTTATTAAAATGATGAGAACAATTTTATAGTACAAACATGAAGTGCAAAACTAGTGCTATCAGTTATCATGAAATTAGTTGTCAAAATCAGGAAATTCATCAGGAACTAAATAAATGATACGAAGACCTTCAAAACTACACTTTCCAAAATTGCCAAAAGTAGTTTCATTGAGCAATATGAGAAAAAGAGACTTAGGAACATTCCTGAGAAATATATTATCACACTAATGAAGGGTAACTCTGATGCATAAAATTGTGCTGTGATAAAGTGATTTTTATGGTGTATGAAATGCCATAGCAGAGGGTAGAAACTAGGTTTTCTTGCAGGCAATGTGATGGCTGCAATACCACAGGGAATTAGAAGCACTGGTTAAAACACTGCCTTTTAGGTGGGGGCAGAGTCTATTTCAAACCCTCTTCAACTTAAATCATAGATGTAGCTTTTCTTTACTGCTCACCAGTTGTCAAAGACACAGAGACATGGTGGAAACAAGGCATACCACCTGGGTGAAGAAAAATCAGGAGCTGTGTAGTCACTCTAGGTGAAAAGTGGAAGGAAGGTGTAAGAGGAAACACTGCAGCAGATTACAAGGTATTGGGCAGGGGTTCTCAACCTGTGGCTCTTGACCCCTTTGACAAAGTTTTATCTCCAAACATATTTGCATTATGATTCGTAACTAGCAAAGTTACAGTTATGAAGTAGCACTGATAGCAATTTTGTGGATGGGCTTGCATGTTGCATACCATAACATGAGGGGTTTCCTTAAAGAGTTGCAGCTTTAAGAAGGTTGAGAACTGCTTGTTTAGGGGGGGAAGACAGTGGTAGCAATCTACCTCATAATGCAAGTTGAAAATTAAACAGTTTTGCTAACATGTAAGTTGGTAAAAATTCATTGACATTTATCTATCATCTTTAAAATATACAAGCTGGCCAATACCAGACATGATTTCAAGCAACAATTTCTTTTCCTTAAAACAACAGCATATCACTTCTCTTGCATTTCAGGTGCTCTTGAAAAATCTTGACAGACTGCCTTTAAATTATTAGCATTTTTCTACAGCTCAGATTTGTGCTTTAATTGGTAGCTCATGAGTTTGAGGTGGTATTGGACTCTTACCCATCATAGAGATTACAAGATTCTATGCAGATTTTTCCCCTGCTGAAGCGCCTACATGATAGACACTGGTCTGGTCCAGGTCCCCAACAGCCGTCACTTGAACACAGGTGATTGCACACCATCCCTTCAGCAGCTGCAAGACACACCAAAATCAACCAGGAAATAAGACAAAGGATATGTTAAAACTTAGCATCTTTTGTAAAAAAGCTGAATATCATTCTTATTAAAAGAAAATTAAATTGAAATATAATTACATTACTTTCCATTTTCCCTGTCCTCCCTCAAAACTTTTCCAAGCAATAACTTTTATCCTCTCAAATAAATCTTTTTATTATTACCTCTCTCTCTCTCTCTCTCTCTCTCTCTCTCTCTCTCT